TGGATGTGCTTAGCTAGCAGACAGCTACTTCTAGCAATTCAAAAGATGCTCTATGCCCATATGCCACCCTCTCACCCTCCTCAGCATCCATTTGGGTCAAGCACCCTGGGCAACACTATGCCATGAACTCTATTTGCTCTCATTGCTGCATAAACATCCCAAGAGGAGAACAGCAAACCACGGTGTAGGCAATGCCAATGCTGTTGCTACTGCTATCCTGCATTCTCACTAGAGAAGGATATCATTGCTGTAGTCACACCCACACTTAACTATATTTATGCTAAGCCAAACCTATTTCCTTCAGACCAAAGGAAGGAGCTGCAGGGAACTCCAGGGAGAACCTCTGGGGTGCACAGCCTTGGTTAAACAGAGACATCAAGATGGGTTCTAGGTGCACAATGCTTGATCTCACTTCTATGTGCTTGGAGCGTGTGTCTCAGTCTTGAACTACTCCTCCATTGTTCCCATTGCTGCCCAGGGTAGCTTAATAAAGTGTGCATCCAGAACCACAACACAGCATCAGTGATCTTACTCTTGCCTAAGGCCTCCCATCTAACAGAGCCTGCAGCACTTCTCTGCTTCTTCCACACGCTCAAGGATCTTTCACCACCAAAACGTGGGTCTCAGTCAAGCGGGAAGTGGTAACACTCAGACAACATGCTGCCCAGAAGGTGAAAGAATGTTTAAACACAGCAGCGCTGTGCTTAGGGGTCCTGAGAGCCGTTTTGTTAACACTCTATATAACCAGGTGGAAGAGGAAAAAGTTATTGAATAGCGACTTACAAAAGTCCTTTCTGGATCAATGCAGTGAACTGTGGGAGAAGGAAAGATGATAGAAAGAAAAAGATAATGGCACCAGGCAAGGACATCTCAGCACACACTTAAAAGGCTATGGACAAAGCTGTCAGCTTCAAAAGGACCTTAATATCCTGTTTCAAAGAAAATGCAAGCTCCTTCTGCCAGGCTGGGAACTCTTCTGTTAGAAGCTCAGAGGTCAGCTTCTGAAAGGGTTCTCCCTGAAACATCAGAGACAAACATTTCTGAGCTAAGGGAACAGCTTGTTAGGCTGCAGAGACTGATGGGGAGGAAGAAAAGGAAGTAGACAGTGATAGAAAACAGAGCTGGTACGGGCTATTCCTGTGGAAGAAGGCCAAACACCCAAAAAAGGAGAAAGACATTGTCCTTTTCGTTATTGGAAGACTCACCTTACAGGAAGTGATTTTGCTTTAAGCAAACGCTTCAGGAAGACTGGTTGCTCGCTATTGGTTCATATGCTGGATGAGTCAGATTCAGAAGGGCTGGACACCATTTGTGGATAACACACCAGGGACCTCAGTGTAAGACTTGGATCACTCCAGTAGTCACACGGCAGGAAAGCTGCATGGCTGAAGACCAGGAGCCTGAGAAAGGGATAAAAATCACAATTCAGGATAGATTGGATCCATCAGTCAATCTGGTAGTTGCAATCCAAGGTCTATTCTACACAGAGACATAGATGCTTTGCAAGTAATTATAAACATAGCAAAAAAAAAATCAAGATTAAAATCCATCCTTGAATTCTTCTCAAAAACATAGGTTATGTAAGAATGAACGCTACTAGGAGCTTGAGGACCCATCATCAGCATCTTGGTTCAATAACGACTGCAACCACTTGCCCTCACTTCCTCCCTCCCTATTGCCATCACTAGGGGGAGCTGCTATTACCTCATTTCTCTCAGCTCTCATTTGCCTAGCCTCATCTCATCCAATTTTCCTATCTAAGGTAAACTTGTCACCCTAGTCTCTTTTATGGCTAATGGCAAGGAATGGGCACTTTGCAGGTGGTTCTTGTTCTAAAATGTATGCCTCAAGAAGGTCAGATAAACTGTATTCTTGAGGTATCTATTTCTCAAGTCCAGTATGACTAACCTGCGTGCAAAACATGAATCCCATCAAAATTACCTTCAGGAAAAAAAAAAAAAAAAAATGCAATTTCATATTAGGTATGATGTTCAGCATAAAGGTTGCCTGCCTGGAGCTCATAGATGAGAGCAGCACTTGTATTATGACAGCAAGCAGCCACTCGGGAGTAATCAGGCCATAAACATCATCTTTAGAAAGAAACTGTCCTTTCTGCTTTGGCAAAGGAAATCCAAATGTCTCTTTGGAGTCATTTCCCCATCAGAGATGCTTGGTTTTCTTCCATGTTCTCCGGAGTCTCCATGACTAAAAGACTACAAAATATTTGTAGGCGTGTGGAAGAAGCCAGCTTTACAGATCATTTGCAGTGGGCACCAGGCTAGAGTCTTAAAGACTGAGCTCTCAGCAGATCATTCAAGGATGCACAGCAACAGTACCTCGCCTCAGAGATAAGCAAAAAAGAAACACAGACACAAACATCAGCCCAGAAGGCAAAGGCAAGAAGAGATGGACTCCTGAAGGTGCAGAAGAAAGAGGATAGGAAATTAAAGAAGAGAGGCAGAGGGAACAAAACACAGGCATGAGCAGCAAGGCAGCGGACAGAAAGAAAAGAGGATGTACCTAAACATCAAAGGAGATATTAGTGGCATTTTATTTGCATTCATAACCTGCATTTGACTGTAGCTGCATAATAGCTTTCATATATTCTTCCCCATTTAGCGTGGCCCTAGAATCCTTGCTGATGTGCTCAAGGCCTTTGCAGAGGTGAAGTCTCCATAGAGCACAGAAGACAAGAGCCGCAGAGCCAGCAAGCCCCAGCTACTTCTCTCAGAGATCTCCTCTTTGGTTTCTCAGGTGCTCAGTAACTGGTTTGTTCATATTGAAGCCTCTGTACAGGGGGGAAGCATCTTCCCTTCTATCTAGTTCAGTCTTTAGAAACTCGTGGGAACTTAGTATCTTTGAGAGCTCTTGCCATCTGTTGAATATGCCAAATTATTGGCAGCATCACACAAACAAGCAACCAGAGGGCATGAGTCAGGTTTTCTTAAGCAGCAGAAACAAAACTTCATGTCCTTCTATCTGAAGCTTCGTTATTCTTTTTTTTAGCCAGCAGAAGAATACCCAGACTAAGTTTGTGGCCTAGTCTAAGGCCCAGTACATGCTGGAGCTTATAAAATCCCACATGACCAGAGTACAATATAATACTAACTTGCTTTTGCTAAGTCTGCTTTGGAAACCCCTCCTTTTCTAACCCTTTGGTAGAGGTGGAAGAAACTGCATTTACACTTCTGGAATTTAGTAGAATGCAACTCAGCCCCCAGGGAGAGGAGACAAAGTGCTGCCCAAATGGAAGGCTATGTGCTGCGTTTAAGGCGCGTTGCTTACCTCATACAAGAACGAGCATTAGTTTTATCTTCAGTTAGCATCGCAATACGGCTTGATCAGTGGCTGAAGGCTCTTCCTTCAAGCGCTAGCTCTCCTGTTACCTGCTATGGAGACCACAGCCCCCTGCAATCATAAAAATGTAAAGTTCCACTGAAAAGCCCAAAGCAGTACTTTTTCCTAGGAAGATCTGCATGACCGAGTTCCACATCTATACAACATGGTTCCCTTCAAGCACACCTCACAATGCCAGTCTGCTTCAACCTGGCTAAAACTTTAGGATTGGCCCTGAACTGAGCAGGGCAGTCAGCCAGAGCCATCACAGCACAACCGGGCCCTGCAGTGGAACAAGCACAGCCTCTACACACAAATAACCACATTGCCTGAGCCTGGTGCTTTAGAAACAACTAAGCACTTGGGCTCTGGCACAGAAGTGCTTTTCAGGCTGCCTCTGTCATACTAGGCAGCTAAATACTTCTGTAGGCAGATAGCAGTGTCGAGCCACAGCAGATACAAGTCGATGCTGGAGAGATCTGATCACTCGCACCATTCAGAGCAACACTCACAGGCAGTAGCCTGCCTCCCTTCGTCCCCAAACTTTAGGTGTTAGCTTTACTTTCTTCTTTATGATACCATCCTAGTACTGTTACACTGATGGTAGCAAGGCCCAGGCCATCCCAGCGGGTGGGGGGGGGGGGGGGGGGGCAGGGAACTACACAAGATTAATCTAAACTTGCCAGGAAGTATGTGACCTGCACTGCTACAAAGCCTGCTGCCTTACAAGCATCCCACTCATTACTTGGGAGTATGCATGTGTTAAATGCTTGCAGCTGGCAAAGGCTCTGCTGAGGGATCAGAGACCATTCCTGGTATTTTTCTAATCTCAGCTGATGGTTCCTATCCCCCTCAAGAACTTACAGCTTGGTACCACCTCCCAGCTTTTCGTAGGAACACTCCATAGGGGACATCTCTTTTGACACCAGCTGCAAGACCACCAGTCAGAGGGAAGTCAAAGAACCAAACTTTGCTGTCAACTGGCCCACGCTACTCCAGCTGTCTAAGGCAGATCAAGCACCAGCCTGAACATAAACCGGCCTTTTCAAAGCCAATCTTGGCCTCCCAAAACTGCTTCTGCACCAAGCAACTTCTTGTTAGGAAAGAAGTCAGCTTCTTACTGTGCTACTGTGGTGTCCTTACACTGCAGCTGAGGATACTGGCATAACAAACGGGGAAAAAAAATCCTGAATTAAGCCATTGGCAAAATAAACAGGAGGTTTACCTCAATACTACTGATTTTCATCCTAGTACCTTGGAAAAAAGAGGCCTAGGGAAGAATCAAGGAAGACTCAACGCCTAATGCCCAGGTTTTACAACAAATACTAAAGACACTCCTGACTGACTCATGTCCCAAACTAATCACATGAAAACTCGCAACAAAAACATTAACTTTCAGGTGGGGGAGAAACAGCATAGATCAGGTAACAATTAAGAGCCCCAATTCATCACACAAATGTAGGCAAATGATTTAAACTTGCTGTAAATTAGGGGTAATTCTTACTTCATATGGTAAGCAGTGCTGGAAACGGTGTTGTAAGGTTTACATTTGACACTCTTGCCTCTGCAATAGCGTCTGCGTAAGTGCAAGGTACAAGGGAAGAACTGCTCATCGCTCAAAGATCAAGACCCACAGTACAGACTTAATCAAAAAAGGTTCGCTCTTTATTTTAAACATTAAAAGAAACATTTTACACAGCATTGTTAGAACTATTCGGTACCTGCATTCAGGAATTGTGCCAAACATTTTATTTTATAAGTTTGAAATTAAAACAAATGAAAGAAAACATCTTGCCCTTCTGCTGTACAACGTTCAGCTTGTCCTGGATCAAGTTCCAAGTGCTTGGAGAAATTTACCAGCTTAACCAAAAGATGTGGCAAAGCAAATAGGAAGATCATCGTGAGCCCTTAGGATACTTGGACAATACCAGAGGTTGCAGCTGGGAGGATACAGATATTGTACTGCATCTCAGGCAGTACTTAGAGAGTTTACTCTCCTGACACTCTCCAGGTTTAATACACAACCACATGCACCACATACTTCCACTCATGTACACGCACACCCCGATCACACAGGAAATAATAATACTAAAAAACACGGAAAGTGACCAAGACATTTTCTCATTAAAGACAAGATTGCCAGAATATTTTTTTAAAAGGGGAATAATACAAAATTGGCACAATTAGAAGGAAACCTGTGGGGTAGGTCTTGCCCCTCAGCTTCTAGCCTTCCAACTACAGCAAAAACAAGGTGTAGGGGGATGCAGCATTGCCTTCCAGGGGCTGGCAGCAGTACGAGCTAGTGGTGAACTTGCTTCAGTTGGAATGACAAAGATGGTTTATTATAGGCCATGAAGGATGGTCAGCATTAACTAAGGGCATGGGGACCTTTCACTAAAGGGGCAGGGAGCCCTGACCAAAATAACCCTGAGTTTCTTCCAGCAGGGAGAAAGTGTGCTGCGTTGTGTGCTTGGGAAGAGCTGGCGGTTCCCTGCTCAATCGTTCCCTAATTATTGCGTTACAGTCACAATCCTCTTTCCCCCAAAACTTAACCTAGAGCACATAAAAAAGGACTCAGTCTGCAAGGAGAACAAGTGACTGATGCCATGCTTGAAACTTAACCAGTACAACCCCTCCCTAAATCCCCCAATGCCACAAGCCTTTGGTGAAGAAAGCACATGTTAAAACAGGAAAGAAACTGCTTAGATCAGTGTGGGAAGGACAGCCAGAATTCAAAACATTAGAGTGGTATCCCAGAATGCCTAGGGAAAAGCGAGATTTCACTACCACAGGCAGAACAGGAGAGGAAGAAAAACCTCTTGCTGTCAAAGCGGTGTCTGAGTGAATCCTCTCCTCAATTCCTCTCCTTTGGAAAGCATCACTTTCTGGGCTTTCAGAGTAGAACCTAGAGACTGTGTCTGCCCTGTTCCTCAGCAGAAACAGCTACACTGCCTGCAACATAGACCTTTTTAAAGCTCTCCCACAAAGGAAAACAGTAGGCCAGAAAAAAAAAGCTTCTGCAGATGTTCAGGCTAAGGTTTCCCAGAGATGTATAGGTTTTGGGTATGTCAGTTTTGGACCACTGCATGAAATGTTTAAGAGTCAAATTATAGAGTTGCAAGCCCCCACTCTGAAAGTCAAGCCCATTTTGAAGATGTCTCACATTTGGCCTCCAAAAATCATTAGACGTGTGCGTGTGTGCATACACGGGTGTTTGTGTGTTGAGGGCAAAACACAGCTTTCTAGAAGAAAAACCTCACAACAGCCTCAGAACAAAGGTCATAATGCAAGATCAGGGGGAAAAAAAACACTCAAAAACCAATCTGGAATAGCTATAATGTTGAGTGAAAGATTCCACAAGTACTAATGTGAAATGAAGCCATCATAACAACAGCAATATTAGACCTGCAGCTGCTCTGGAATGTGCACTGAGATGAGCTGCTAGTGAAGGAGACAATCAAGGACATCATTAATGTTTAGATCGGCAGCAGTACACCAAAGCCACTACCTTCTGTCGATTTCCTCATCTAACATCTTTTCTGTCATCCTCAGAAAAAATCTAAAAAGGACGGAGCCCTGGCACCAGCTCTAGACTCCTCACCCATCTTGACGTGAGCCAAATGCTGGCTGTGACGTCAGAGCATGGTACAGTCCTACTTGTTTGTTTATGCACAGTAATTTTATTCTGACTTTTATTGCTTAGAACACCAGCTGTGCTGGAAAGACAGAGCTGCCAAGAAAAGGAGCTGCTCCCAGTTAGGAGCCAGGTCAGAGTATGTGGAAGACCAAAGCAGAACTTCTTATATTATAGCACCTAGAAATATGCCTCAAATTCATGGGGAAAGCCCTGCTGCAGGCCTATGGACAGAGGGCCTTTCACACAAGACTAGGATCACTGGAACCTGAAGGATTCTTGCTCCCTCTTGGGAGAGTTCTTATTCCTACCCTGAGCTGCACTTTAGCTACCACACATCTTGGACTCTGCTCACAGGCTCAAAGGTTACCACTGAGCGAATGGCAGAAGCAGTGTTACAGTCTGGCCTGTGCGTTCATAACACCTAGCTTCCAAATCTCCCCGAAAATGTGACCATCAGTTGGCCAACTACACATAAAGATGCATCCCAGTTTTTCCACGAGTCACCACTCGTGACACTCGTGGATGGCGAGTGCCATCACCACTGAGGCAAGCTTTCCTACCTCTCTGCTGAGACTGGCAGAAGGCAGGGCCACGTTCCTTGATGCCACGTTGCCCCACGACCATAAGGGTCTGCGGCACAACAGAAGCAGCTGTAGTGGGTAGAAAAGAAGGTAGAGGGGTGGAAGGAGGAGGTGGCCACAGGTAGAGATCCAGGAAATGCTTGTCTGAGGATTGACTCTTCAGGGTTGCTAAGCCAGCCCCTATTCACCACAGCTAAGAATTTTGAGCACTGAAAATAGAAAAATCCTTAAAGAAAAAATATCTCAAACCTCCAGGCAGGCAAATTCTGTTTTGGGGTTAACTATAAACCCTTTGAAAGCCAGAGAAGAGAAGGCATGTGACAACCATAAACCAATTCTTCAATGCAACAGTCTCAGGAGGCACCAGCAAGCACTGTTCTTCAGCCTTTGTCCCAACACAGAGAAGTCAGTGAGACACCAGGGTGAAGAGAGAAAGGGGACAGGAGGGTGTGATGGGAGAGGGAGAAAGAATAGATTGGTTAACATGATGAAAGTCTAACACTTCTACCAGCTCCTTCCAACCCATCCCCTTCCCCACCGTCTTTTCATACTAGATATTTTCAAAACCATGAGAGGAGAGAAAACAAACAAACAAACAAAAAACTTAGTGAATTTTGTCACAGGGCCCTGCTGAAAGAAGGCTTGACAGTTTGCACATTAGAAGGACTTTTCCCTGTGTAGAAAGTGCTACTGGAAAAGGAGAAATCTGAGTTGCTAAATATGGCCTGAGCACTCCCAGGACATGATGTGTAACAAGGAGAAGTTTGAGGTTCAGGCTGAAATCGGAGAGGAAACACACTGTCTTGTCTGGGCCTGCAATGAGTGTCTCAGCACAGTCCAAGAGCCCTGCGAGTCTCTCACAAAACACAAGTGCTTTTGGCTCCCACGCTCAGTCCATCTCCATCGACATTAGCCGGCGACGTTCTCGTCTTGTTTCCTGCACTTCCTTCTTGCAGCACCAACGGGAGCTACAGTAGCCAATGAGGCAGGATAAGAGTCCAATGACAGTGGCCAGACCAATGCCAATCAACAGGGGGTATTTGAAAGCATTCAGAACTGAAAGAGGAAGGCAAATAAAGTCATTATATCAGTGAGAAATTCAAAGGGCACATTATTTGTTCTTGTCTAAGAAAGGGGAAAAACCCACACCTTTCAGTCACAGGCAGATTAATTATTTCAGAAGGGAATTAAACTAATTTTCCTTCTTGGCTTCTGTCTTTTGAGGTTTCAAAAAACTGGTCTCTTCTGCCTTACCTCCTGACCTTCTATTTCTTTATCCACCGTTCCAAAGCCTCAGGGAGACTGGAAGCACCAGAGAAACCGTAGAGCGAGACAGCAGAGTGGAGCCACTTCTAAGAGGTATCCCATTACCTGCTCTTCCAAATAAAAGCCTTGCAACGTTTCCCCAGAGGCAGACTGCCGCTGCATTTTTTTTGTAAGTTGTTTTCCAAATGGCAAGGAGCGGACTTATTTATCCCTTTGTTGGATTGCAACCGCATATTCACTGCCACTAAGCAATCCTGTCTCAACAGACGCTACAGTTGGTGCCTAAACTAGCGAATTGATTTTCTGAAGTGCTAGGCACCTACCATTTAGGTAAAGGGCAGGCTCGAGAAATGGAAGGAGTCTGGAAAGGCAGTGTCATCTGCCCAGTAAGGAGAACAATAACTTCTGATTCATTCAAGTTCCTGGGACTTCCCAGTGTGGCCTTTCCTCAAATTGCTGAGAGGGAAGCTTCCAGTACAAAACCGTAACTATGTGCTAAACACAAGCGTCTAATATGCATTTTGCTTCTCATGAAAGTCTTGCAACACTTGCAACAAGCAGGCAAGGCAAAGGGCAGGGAGCAGCACATCTTGTGGTTAGGACAGAGAGGAAGAAGTCAGAGCTCTGACGCTCTGTTCTCAGCTTTGATATTAACCATGACTGACCTAATACTTCGACACACCCCAGCTGCAAACCAAGGCTTCCTCCTGCAGGGAGCAGAAGGGTTCAAACCTGGAGAGAATGCTGAGCCTTAATTAAAAGATGCCCCAGCTATGCAAAATATCAACGCTTAGATCAGGAAAGAGAACGCTCAGCCCTAGGAGTGTGGTCCGTTCAGGCCTAGCCACATTACAGAATCTAGAATCAGAAGTTGAAAACAACAAAAAAGGATAACAAAATCTAATCAGACTATCACAGGCACTTTTTAAAATGACCTCAGGAATACTTGTCACTGAAAGACATAATAAAGGGTTAACCCCTCCCCAACACACACACACACACTGCAATCTCTTACCATCCATTTTCACAGATAAAAAGATGGGCTTGGCTTGGACATCAGGCTCCCGCTGCCATACACCGGTGGCGGACCGCACCCACGGGGTCACTACACAGTAGTGGTTCCCAAAGTCATGGTCCTCGCAGCCATGCACACGGAGCCGAAATTCCAGGGGGCTGATTCTCTCCAGGCTGAGATCGCTGCTCCCGTTTCTCCTGCTCTGTGTCACGATCCCTCTCCGGTCCAGCGAGGCCAGCAAGATGGGCTCTCTATCCAATGCAAAGGAGCGCACCGCAAACCAGGAGACATCAAAGGACATATCATCTGCGTTTGGGGATAGAGCAGAATTTGGACAGACTGGTGAGCTCCAAAGGGTATTCTAGTGCCATTTTATCATTGGAAGGGTGAACCTGCAAGTAGCATGAAAAACTGGATGATTATTCCTGTTTCAGCCTCTGTCCTTCCAACACCAAATAGGGTTGACGAAAGAATCAGAAACAGCCTTAAGAGCATACGTATATCTGAAATGCTAAGACATGAAAAATAATTAGCACTGGAAACTAGAGGAACTAGGATTGATATTCATAGAAAGCACTCTAAAGGTTAATTAACAGCTGGGAATAGATGTTGGCAGGCCCTAGACCTTCCAACATGTACAGGCAGTGGAAGTACTGCTTTTGTGAAAGCGAGATGGAACGTGTGAAATGGAGAAGGTAGAAAGGAGACAGACTTGAAGAGTTACTAGGAGAATTTCAGTGAACGTTGCCAGTTAGCTTGGGAAAGGGCTCTTAGAAACAGAAGACCCTGAATGGAAGTGCAATCAAGTTGTGGGCGGAGTTTGGAGCTAAGAGCAAGAGGAAAAGTTTGTCAAGTACTGGTCTGACAGTGGAAGACAAAAAGAGTGCCCTGAACATCCCCTTACTGGGAAGACCAAAGCACTGGATTCCAACTGGCAGAAAGAATATAACTGCACAGAAAGGGTGACTTACTACAGGTACGACAAAGAGGAGATTGCCTATTTTCCTGCCTACCATCTTAAAACTTGTATTTCATCTCAGATGTAAGTTTTCACTAAGCAGGTCTAATGCCATGAGACATGCTCTGATGCTGTAACAACGGTGACAAGGGAGAAGAAATGCTACACATTTGCTAGTGGAGAGTGATTTGCAACCACTCTCTTCTTGCAGGGGCTACACAGAGTCAGAAGACTTTTTCCTGCAGAAGCCTCTTGCTCATGTTTAGTCTGCCTATATGAGGGCAGAGATTCTACACAAAGCGCAAAAGAACTACCTATAAAAACACAAAGCATTCAGGATCAAAGCCTGACCATGATGCTTCTCTACGTGTCTTCCACAGCTGATGTTTACTGTCATGCGTTATCAGGCAATTATGCCTGATAAGTACAAGTACAAGTTTTACCACCCAAGGAGATAATCTACAAAAAGCCTTTGCAGCATCTTCAACCTTTAATATCAGCTGACAGGTAGTCAGAGTCCATCAGCACATCCAGCTCTTTCTACAGGCATGCAAGATTCTATTGATCCCATTAGCAGAGCTCAGTCTTAACCCTCTCAGGCCAGCGTAGCTGAACATGTACTTTAAAAATCACTGCAATGCTCTGCTAAGCTGTTAAGAGTGTTATGGCAGAAAACAGCGGGGATGCTATTACAAACATAGTTTTTAAAGCAAAGTAAGATTTGAAGGCTGCCTATTTTCTAGAGCCCTGTGGAAGGGAATCCAATCGACAGCAACAAGGAGACACTATTGCAATCAACATACGTAGAACCTAAAGCATGGAACGAACCCTTCTCTTCTGGACTCAGTTACCAACATGAAGATGAGTAAGAAGGTTATATCCTGTCTTTTCTGATCACTGCTTTCTGATTACAGTTGGTTATTCTGAACATACTAGCCACTCTCAAGATAAATAGATTCTCACATATGTTCTTTCTCTCACAGAGAGAAAGAACAATTCACTGACGTTACGTGAGCCCAGCAACATCTGCCAGAGTCTTAAACCTAGTATGACCTAGAGCACAGACAAGAGAGAGGGCTTCAGATGCTTGCCATTGTGGTTCACCAACAGCTCTTCCTCCCTGGCAAATCAACGAGCTGACAGGCCCAAACTAGAAACAGAGGTTTCTGGCTGTGCGTGCACAAGTTTTTGTTACAACTAGAATGTGTGCATAGGGCTTAACCTTTCCACACCTAAGATAGTGGCCTATAAATTCAGGGTATATCAAACCTCCATTTGCTAGTGTTGAGATTTGTGAGGAATAAAGTATTAGCAATCTCAAATTTAAAACTGATCTTCCATCCAATTGAGTTTGCTCCGGATTTGATCTCCAGGCTAATGGAAAAATTAAAGCCTTAAACCTGCTGCTGTACTCAGATTCTCTACAAATTGATGTGAATATGATTTTTAAGCCTCTCCAAGGCAAGCTGATTCCTCAGAAAGGAAGGGAACCTTAAGACAGCCTTGTAAAACAAAGTAGGGACCACCCTCAGCTATGCTACTTCAGATATAGCATCGGCTTGCCAGGCACTACATCCTCCCTCAATGCAGACAGAAAATACCCTCTATTTGAGTTATAACTGGCTTCCCTGTAAAAGTTCCTCTGTGCAGGGATGGGGAGGAAATGAGCAGCAAGAGGAAAGAAACACTACAGGTGAGGTGCACTGTTTTCACACACATCTTCAAAGAACTGAAACAAATAGATAAGAAAGCAGATGGCAGCACTCTGTTACTACCAGAGATGCTGGCTGACCAGACTGTTTTGGGGCACCTGCCAGTTTACTGCCCTGCTTGCCATGGCCAGCTGCTCTGCACAATGACACAGAACCTCAAGAGGGGATCTGGCATGTTTTGCAGCCCTATGGCAGGAAGAGATTTCCCAATCCTATCTAGAGGTCAGCATAGGACGTGGACCAGCAGCCCTCACAACAACCACTCTTATCTGTCATACTACAAATAATATTAGTTGCACGGCCTAACACTCTGACACCCGCTCCCCTGCCAAAAGCAAAGCTAATAAAAATCTCCATACACACATGAGGTTAATGGGACCAAACTCTGACCTCTGCCTTGCACGCTCATCCAACTATCTGTGGGAAACAGGGCCTCTACTGGAGAGACCTCATAAACTGCTCTTGGTCCCAGCTGCCTGTTCATGCCAAATACGGTAATAGCACCGGTCCACACGCAGTCACTTTAGGAATGACCAATTCCTTCCAAAGATCATCAAGATGGCCACGAGCTCTTTGTGCTTCCAAGGTACCACAGAAGCATATAGGCACTTTCCAGGCTAAATTCAACTACAGTGAACACACCATTGCATTTGCTAAAAAGGCACCAACAATAAATTTAGATTAAAAAAAAAAAAAAAAAAGCCTTCAGATTTCCCAGACAAGTTGCTATCTTTGAAGAATTCCTTCTTTTCATTCTGAAATGAGTACTTTGATCCCTCATTTGAGATTCCCTTCTCTTCACATACAAAAATGAGTGCAGACACTTGCTGTTATTTTGAAATAGCTGAATTTATCTTCTGTAATTACAACATGGGACAACAGTATTACGCCAACATATTTTATTAGTCAGTATACACAGTGTGCAATTAGTGACTCACTACAGGCATACAGAGTCAGAGGGAGGATTTGGCTGCAAATATTCCTTGTCACTATGAAGTAGCTTCATGCAGCAAAGTGATCTGATTATTTCTATGTATCACACAATTCTTCATGCTATAAGAACACAGGAAAATTTAGCAACACCAGTGACGAACACGCCTAGCAGCTCCCAAGTGCTGATAAATACATGGCTTTACTGACATAAAAATTAGGTCACACATCGGCTTCCCAAAGGCACCTGTTACCATCCCCACTCCCACACTTTGTATCAATGTTGACAAGTCACTCTCTCAAAAATTTTTGTTCCCAGGCTAACACCCCCACACTTAACTGTAAAGGTGTCTTTTACCACTTTCTCCCCTGTGCCACAATGTTGTAAGTAGTATGAGGCAGCCGGGCAAGGGCATTAAGCATCCCTGCATTAGACAGAAGCATAACATCCCAACATCAAATTCAGAAGTCTGTCAAGGACCTCAGCGTCCCCAGTTCATGCAACTTAATTGCTTTCTAAAGGAACACAGAGCACTGGGAACTTGGCCCTTCAGAGGCTCAGCCAGCAGACTAATAGTGGTGCTCTGCTTCTTCCCCTCCTCAGCTAGTGAGGATCATCAAAATGTAAAGCACATCTTTATGCACATTTTGATTTGACACACAGGACTAAGCTGACCGGGTTTTAGCTGCTTCCCTGGCCAATCAGTCCTCAAAACAGGGAATCCTGTTTCTAGACCAGCTCTTAGGAACCATACACTTCCACTGCTTAGAATGGAGCTCTCAGCATCTTGTTACAGCGCTGAATCACAATTTTGAGACCCTTTTTGTTTACTACATTTAAATGAGGTTGAATAGGGCTTCCTAGAGAGCTGAGCGAACCACTTCAAGACATACAAGAGGTAAACAAAACAAGCTGGCTTTGTTAAACTCTCCAGAGTACCCAGTGGGTCTGTCTGGAACAGATAAAAAACCATCTCCTTTCAGGCAGAGAAAGCAATACTCCTAAATCCCTAAGCACATACTCCAAGAAGGGGTCATCTGGGAAGTCCAGAAAGACCATTTGTGAAAATGTGTATTCTACAAAAATATTAGAAGAAGCTTTATAGCTTTGGGGCACAGAAGTACCACTAATTCCCCCAGACACACACAGAGCCTCACACCAATTCAAAACTCAACCACAGCTGCCAAGCCAAAGGGGCACTCCTTTAGATGGAGCAGTTGCTGGCACGTACTCGGCTCAGTAATATACACTCCACTCCAGCAGGGTCTCAAAGACGCAGAGGAAATTAAAGCATGCAGTAGTCACGCTAAAACCTTTTCCACCCTTCTGAAAAGTTTCCACAGGCTGGGTATGCACACACACACAGTACTGTGAACTACCTCCAGCAGACTAGGGTCCGACCAAGAATTAATGCTTCTGGAAACAAACAGATTGATCTAACCGTGCTTTCAAACTGTTTTGGATATGCTCTTTAGCAAGAGATCCCATGAAATTCATTGGTCCTACTTTGCTCACAAAAGGGCCCAAAAATATACCACTGCAGCAGGTCTGACATCAGCAGAGGGAATCCTGAACCCAGGCCCTTTGAAAGCCATAATGCCCCATAGGATATAGTCAGGACAGCAGCGTGTATATGCACATGCTCACCTCTTCTTTCACATCAGGTTCCCAGACAGAAAGGCAGGCCTGTAGCGCTGTGATCTGTTTTTCTCTAGGAGATGCCAGCAAATCTTGCTCTTCCTCTCTGATTAATTGGTTCAGGCTTTCTCCAACCCTATGCCTCACTGCCCCACTGGGATGACACAGTGCTGTTATTTTCACAGTCTGTCTAATGCTTTGGCATTCATTTCAAGCAAGCTCTCCTTTTCAGCGGTGAACTGAATTGTGAATTAAAACTCAGTGCAGGGACAGATCAGAGATGGGATATACGGAAAAAGAGTTACTACTGAGTAATTACATCTGGGTGTTACCATAAGAGCCCTTAAAGCCCTTCTTCACCTAAGCTGTTCTGCTTTCCCACTCCCTAGTCCCCTCCATCTCTCAAGGGTGAGAAGGCAGAATTACAAGGGAAATCCATACACCCTGCAGCATTCAATCCCAGCTGTTCCCTGCAGCTCTTCTGCCAGTTTCATCCAGAGGACCAGCTACACTGGAGAGCTGCCAGTTTCTCAGGCACATCTGAAAGGCCCAGATGTATCTTCTCCACAAGAACATGCTGCCTGCGGCTGGTTGAACCCCAAATCCTGCTCATTCAGCAACTCGAGGCTCAGAGTATGAACTCAGATGTTCCTCAACACCTGCTCCAATGTCACACTTCTTTACTCCTTGCTGCGCATATCCACTGTGTGTGCCTAATCTGCCCTGTTACAGAGGAAGAAAAAAAGAAAAAAAAAAGAGGCAGAGATCTGCCATGTTCACAGTGATGTTACCCAGCTACAGAACAGATTATAGTGCTGACATTTAAAACTCTGCACTGGCTGCTCAGCAATCTCTGGTAACTGCAACACTTCCAAACTCTAGGCATAGTCTATCAATTTAATAGACATCAATGTCCTCTAATAAGGTTGCCCAGTTTAAGCTTAACTGTGCAGATCAGCAGATCCCTGGAGAGGCCACCTTTCTGCTTAAATCCATTCAATTATCCTTATCTTGTCAGGGTTTCTCCTAGGCTCAAGCTAGCAAGCACAATCACATCACAAAGCCAAATGCAGCAGAGCACTGACAGGTGAGCCCCTCTGTTAGCAAGTGGCTTCCTGCCGACTTTCAAGTGGATGAAGGATGCTGAGGCCTCTTTGGTGAGACAACCCCAAGCTTATTTTAACTATTAAACACCAGCAGAAGCAGCAGCTGCTCCCAGGCAGCAAGTACTGCTTTGCAAAGCCAGCCAGCTGCTTTGGGTACTGCTTTTGCAACAATACGTGTAAGAGCTTGGGAACACCTCAGCTTACAAGAGGCTTCTGCACAGCACAATAAAGGACAGGCTGAGGCATACATACACACACATACATTGCTGCAGACTGTGTCCAGTCTCCCAGGCTGTGAATCTTTTGTCTGCAATAAAGTTTACTCAGCTTTTTCCCCCTATAAAGCATTTCAATAGTACCAACTGCAGATATCTATCATTTTTTCACAAGCATAGAACTAATCTAGCAAATTGCTTCTGTGCTACACTTGCATTTAGAGTAAAATGGACAGTCTGGAACTTCAGAAATCTGGTACTTGATCTCATCAACAGCTACACTTGACATAGTATTTCTTGAACAGCACCATTCTGTAGCATTTTATGCAAGCTTTACATGAATCACATCTTTGTTTCAATGCTTATATATTTATATTTAGATAGGGATTTAAACATATATATAGTCATATTTCAAATATATTTTATATTCATACATAAAAATGACTTCATTAAATTAAAAAAAAAAAAAAAAAAAGAAATAAACTCACACCAAACCCAAATTTTGAGTAAAGCAACCAGAGCTATTCTCATACCATTTCTGATGAAAAACAGCTCAGGAAACCTTTGGTAAGCAGCTAAGTTTTGAGCAATTCTCTGAACTTTTCGGCCCTTCATGAAAGTTTGACTTTAAAGTGTCCGTTGTCCTTTTCAAAGCAATTAGGTAGTGCATTTATTCCTCCTTTTTCATGCAAAAGAGAGGCTCACCTCTGAAGGCATCAGCAAGGAACATTAATTTTCAGGAGGCAATTTTTTGTAATTTTTAGATTTACATTCAGTCCTAAATCCACTCTGAAGTGTTAATCTGACTGGCCAGCTGATTTCTTCATAGATGACAGTGTTTTCTTCTAACAGGTTTTGCCTTTCTAATTAAAGATGACAGGAATAATTCTCATGGCCCATCTAGTGGTTATAGGCTGAGATTGCTAGCAGTAGGGGTCAGTCGGTACAGACAGCACAGGTGAGTTTGGCAGTAAGAACACTTTGCCCCCTCCCCAACAGAATGTAAAACAAAAGTCTTGTTCTAAATGAAGCTGTGTAAAGCAAACACACTCTCCGGGATTTACACTTACTCTCCTTTAAAACTTCCATGCTGGTCCTTGATCCCCCGGCCTCATTCAAGAAATACAGGGTTCTAGTTGTCAGTGTTATTCAGGCTGGTGAAGGCAAATGAGTTGAAACTAATATATTTTTGTGGAAATACCTGGCTCGAGGGCCATTCCTTCCGTTGTGATGATACAGAGCAAGTCTGCCAGCTCACCCTGGTAAATCATCTGGTTGTCAGAATGCACCGAGACGTTAAACACAGGACCTAAAAAAGAATAACCACAATTATGAATAATAGGCTTTTCTTCAGTATCCAAAACCTTTCCTTGAAAGTTTTAAAGCGTCCTTTCCTTGCAGGTAGAGACAGAGCTCTGAAGCAGTAATAAGTAATCATGTAACAGATTTGACAAAACAGTTATCCATTTTTAGCCACTAATTCCTTTACGAAGACAAAGTACCCAAACTGCTAGACCTGCTGCTCACCTGGGTCACAGACCAGGGACAACATAGAAGCTGCTGCCCAATCTGCCTTCCATTGTCCTGCACAAAAGGAGCCTTTCTTCCACTGGTGACTCCCTGAAGAGCAAGAGAGTTCACGTCCTCAGGCTAATCCAGCCCGGATCTTTTTGGAGGAGGCTCTCAATAGGAATTGAAGTTAGAGCAAACCAGTGTTTACATGCTACAGACAGTTCCGCTACATGACTGAAATGGACAAGACAAGAAGCGCATCTTTTTTAATGCTTCTGTGGGTTCTCCTTCAAGCTCCACCACAGACAGTTTCTTCCCTAGCAGACATCTCATACCTAAAGGTATAGCAACTCCTCTAGCTGTAAAGTGGTGATGATATTGATGAAAATCATTAAGCCATTAAGAAATCCTCACACCATAGGGATGTGCAAGTTTGACTCGAGGTACATATGAAAAAACAAAAAAATTCCCCACGTGTTGACATCAACTGTATCCTTGGTGCAAAATTAACAGAGCCACAACTTCTCAGGCATGTTGCTCTCCATTTCACAGGCAGAAGCTGAAGAACAAATCAAAATTACTCTTAGTGATTTCCTTACTAAGCAAGGCAAGGGAGATGAGGAGGAGGAAAGCTGTTGTCAATAGTTCCCTTGAGGAGAGCTTTGGGGGAAGGGGACAAGGGAATCC